TAGGACAATTGGGGTAAAAGGGATATTAAGGTCCTCAGGTTTATCAAAGAATCATTAGTAAGGATGCATTCTAGTTTGACCAGAATGGCTTTCCTTGACCATGAAAACCATAATCATGCTGCTTGCAGGATCTGTTTTGTAAACCCCACGAGAAAGTCCTCTTGTACGTCGTGATATTCAAGACTTTTTTATATTGAAGGGCTATCACAATTACCTATGGCAGGAACCCTGATGCCGATGATGATGATGAAGTGCTTGTTATAGTTCCACAGTTCAATGAGCTTGAGCGCGAGAAGATCACTTGCGATAGTAGAAGACCTTCGGTAACTCTTATGGTAATTTGTATGCCATGCGCAACTCCCTATGTTTCTGATAAGGAAGTTCTTTACAAGTATAATGCTACCATGCTGGAAGATGGGAAAGAAGCACCATTGCCTGTGTTGCCTTCGATTGTTAACATTGCAGATGTCAGCAGAGTTACCAGAAGTGGGCGTGCATTTGCAATACAACCTCCGAAGAAGGTTGAAACTCCTGTTGTGAATGATGGATCAAATTTTGTTGTGGAACAGTCCAGTAGGGCTGGTCTCAATTCTGATTCTGATGAAGTTCTGAAATTGATTAAAAATAATGATTATAAGATTGTCGACCAGCTGTTGCAGACCTCATCTAAAATATTTGTATTGTCACTATTGATGAGTTTTGAAGCACACAAAGAGGCTCTGCAAAAGGTCCTTGAACAAGTATATGTTGACTATGATGTGACTATTTACCAATTTGGTGGAACCGTGGGCAACATAACTGTGTTATTTTTCTTGTATTCTTTTTATTTTTATTTTTCACTAAAAATTGGAGAATATCTTCTAATAATAATGGAATCGCTGGTACAAAGTCAAAAAAGGATTCCATTCTGTCCTAACACCATTGAAGAAACATCCAATTATACAACAATTTGGGCTTTTGTGAAGAAAAACTCCTAGAGGAGGGGATAAATCACAATTTGGCGCTACACATCTCAATGAATCGCATGAATGAGGCATTATCTAGTGTGCTGGTTAACACTGGATCCTCGTTGAATGTTATGCCCAACACCACTCTATCCTGATTGTCGTATCAAAGCATTCCCATGAGGCAAAGCAGGATCATTGTTAAAGCTTTTTATGGTTCGAGAAAAACTATTATTGGCAAGGTGGATCTACCTATAACCATTGGACCTCACACATTTCAAATCACTTTTCAAGTGATGGATATTCGTACAGCCTATAGTCGTTAATCTTACCGGAAGATCAGAACCTGAAGTGGGCTAGAGATAACGTCTGCGATGCTAGGTGCAAGAGATGAGGAGGGGGTGTACATGCAAGGCACTCCGATGCTAAAGTGAGAATCGGGAGAAAAGAAGGCAAGTATAGAGTATGTGTGTGTTAGGATGATTATTGGATACCTGACCCTCTCAAATAAGAGGGTTTTTATAGTGCCCCTAACACTTGGCCATTGGTCCCTATTTTTGGGGCAAGATAATCGTTCCCTGAAGAATAGGTAACCGCCAGAAACTAACTGTTGGGACGGGAAGAGGTGCCAAAAACTAGTCGTTGCTACGGGCATAGGCGCAGTAGCAGGCACAGGCGTCGTGAGTGTTTCTGGATGGTGGAATCGTGCGTGACGGGTAGGAACTGCAGAGGAGGGGCAGCTGACCCTAGAGGTCAACCAACCAACCTTCTCCGGTGGAGGGGCGGAAAGGTAAATGCTCCCCTAAATTGGACGGACTTAGGCAATTGGGTCGTTCAAGGTGCAGAAGTGGATTGGGTCAGGCATAGCCATTGGGCCAGTCCAGAATAAAAGCCTCCCAAGTCGTTGCTCTCGAGCATGGGAGCGATGACTTAAGGGCAGTTCGTAGTCCCGGGGAGGACCAAACAAGGTCGTCACGTTTTGCTTAAATGAGGCTGTTACTTGGTGCCCGAGGGAATCTATGCCGGGGGGACCTGTAGTGTTGCCTGGTGGGGAACCCAAAATACGGGAGCCCAACAGTTGATGTGATCTGAAGAGGTGAAGTTCCGCGCGTGCCTCGAGCCATGTGTCACATTTAATGCATAATGATGGCTAGGTTAGGGTCATGATGATGCCCCTAGTCGCGCGTGCTTATGCACGTGCCATAGGCCGTCTATAAATAGAGGGAGAAGCTGCTCATTTTCACTTTTCGTTTCTCTTTCTTCTCTTGTTTTTTACTTCTGTAATCCGCCGTCCGCCGCTGTTCAACACCGTACATGCACCGACCAGAGTTCTTCGACCCCAAACCTCCTTCCTCGACCACGTAAGTACTTGAACTGATATCTGTTATAGGTTTATTCACTTTCTGCTATTTAGAATGCATGTGGTTAAGGCGAAACTAGGTAGCGTATGGGCTGTTTCTAGTGACTGTTGGTGGATGGCGGTGGTTTGGCCATTTTTCGGTGTTGCCAGCGTAGCCAGGGCTTTAGAAGCTTAGGTCTTTTAGCTGATTCGAATGCCGTTGCGATAGCAGAAGCGTTCGTCGCTGGTGGAAACTGTGAATTTCCGATGTACTTATGAGTTTTCCGGCGGTTTTCCAACAGAAATTCTAGGTAACATACTGGGGAAGCTCTCCCCGCGCGTGTTAGAGGGATTGTCCTGGGCGCCTCCTCATATCGTAGTTGTTCCATTTTAGTAGGGATTAGGTCGGGGACGTCGTCCTCGGTCCTTCACACACCCTTTCACTTGACTAGCGGTGGATGGGTGGATATAACTTTTTCATCAAATTCACTTTTATCCTTTACTTTTCAAGTAAGGGAGATGTCGCATGAGGCTGAAGATGAAATCCTGAGAGATCTATCCAAGGAGATCTCCTCAGAGGATATTGAGACTGATTATACTTCCATACCCTGGGATGCTAGGGAAGTACCTATTTCGAGGACAACCGCGGAGGAATGACCAGTAGTAGAGCCTAGGGAGCATGCCTCTATTTGGAAGGTCTATTTCCCCAGAGAGGACAATCGCATCTGCTCATCATACGGGGAGAAGTTCCCTATGTACGAATATATCTTCAAGGAGATAAGGCTGAGGCTAGCCTTTTTGGATTTTCAGAGGGCAATCTTCGTGCACCTGGATCTGGTGCCTTCGCAGCTGCATCCTGTTGCACCCTAATTTTTGACCATGAGATCCCACTTCCTTGTGCATTTTCTCATATACTATCTTTATTTTATTTTATTTTTTTGTATGTGCGTTTAATATGTCTAACCAGCTCGTGCAGGTGTTTAGGGTTCAAAGAGATCCTCGTATGGTTCACCAAATATTGAGCCAAGTTTTATCAAAGTTTACAACAAAGCCCACAAGCTGATTTAAACTCAATGGCTTTTGTCTGGCTCTGAAAATTAGAGGCAGTCTAAATTGATGTGTAAAAAGTTGGGTTTTATTCTACCATGAAGAATTCATCATATTCAAGCCCATAATTAAATTCATACTATTAAGTTATCGCATATTTTGAAAATAAAGACTCAGGCTACGCGGGGTAGAATTTTACAAAACCGAGCTCATGGTGAACTTTCGACTCGCGCAAAAAATACACTTCATGGCATTGTCTTGCTTGATCCTAATTTTATCTCAATTACATTCATCTGGAAGTGGGATTTGAAGAGGACACGCAACCCGAAGGCTTTATTGAAAACCATACTATTGGACCTTTAGGATATTTCATTTCACTCGTTTGATTCAATTGTGTTTGGTTAAGCTTCACCGGTCAATCACCAGAATGTATTGAAATAAGTCTCAGTTGAATTCAATCCGCCAGGTTTAAGCCTAGAAGATTCAAGTTCCCCAAGTTTATTTCCAATATTAAGCCCACGTGGTAAATCGCATGACAAACCCGTACGGGATACAAGCTGCTGTAAAATGGAGAATAAGTTTAAGGCCAAATACTTGAATCCACTTTCCAGGTTTTTCATATAGCAAATGAAGTGCAACCAATTTCATTAACTCTAGAAGGATTCAAAGAGTACAATAATGCAATGATTCAATGTTCCCTTTGCAAGACCAAGCTAAGAACTAATATTACATGGAATGCAAGCTACTAGAGAGTCCTTTTTGAATTATTTACTGATGGAGTAGAAGCAGCCGTCGCTTATGCCGCCAACCTACTGGGAGTTCTCGCAAGACTTGTAAAAGTTGTGACATGTTTCATCACTGTGACGGCAAACCTATGTCCGAAGAATTACGGCAGAATTTAGCATCCGTAACTATCTTACTAAAGCCAGTTGTTGAACAGTTCATAAGTCGTATTGATGGAAAGCTTATATCTCAGCTTCGGCAACCCAAATTTCACCTCTACAAGTTCTACAATGTCCTGTAATTGCACACTATCACAATTGATTAACCTGTGAGGTACAAACAAGTAAGAAACTTGTAAGTTGAGAAGTATATTAACTTCAACCCAAGCCTTCACATTAAACCAAGAAATTACAAGAATTCAGGTCCATTGTTAATTTAAGAAACAATCCTAGTTTACACAGAGGAATGTACTATACCAATGTACAAAGCACTTCTTTCTCTTTACCCTCCCGCATACCAGGCCATGAAAAGTGCAAGCCAAGAACAACATGATCTGAAACCTACACAAATTAAAGTCTAATATTAATTCTTAATACAAAATCAGGATGGAGATCAAATTGAAACGGAAGAATGCTCGTCAGACATTGACCATATTCTGATGGATCAGAGTCCCTCTTGAAGTGAACCATGAGTGTGAAACCTGCAACAAACAACTTCGTAAACGGCAGCAAGATTCCATCAGAAAGACAGCAGACCCTGAGAATGTTTGGTTCACCCTCTATTACCAAAGAATTTTCCTATAATTCATAAATCAGTTTACGTCAGCTCTCACAAATATCAGAGCGAATCATCAGCTAAAATGTGAACAGGTTGATAGAAGTAAGCTTCAACAATTAGTTTACCGAATTTAAGCATTTGCAAGAAAGCTACACACGGGGACTACTAGCTCACTTTCTACGCAAAACATACAGCTGCAAAACACTTTGTCTTTCATAACAAGTTCTGACCGAGCGTTCGAGTTCCTTTCGGCAGCTATAGCCGTCGCCAGCAATCTTGCAGAAGACCAACGTCGACATGCTCACGTTGCATTGCTGTTGTTCACCCTCCTGAACTGCAGAATAATGTTGAATATTAGAAGCAGAGAAGAATTGAACAACATCTCGTCCAAAGCGCGTGGAGAACGTATCTGTTGCCCTTGACACGCTAGGAGCTGATATTCCACTCTGAACTTGGCCACATCTGCAAAATAAGTATTGGATTTTACTCCTAATAGTTATGATCAGGTCACACGGTAAAATAAGAGCCATAAAGTTTAAAGACATCAGATAAGCATAATATGCATCCATTTTAGCAATTTAACAAAGAAACTTACCCAAATACAACATTTGCCTCAACAAGGTCATGATGACCAGCTTCTTGAGTTAAATCCAGAACGTCCTCCACTAATGCTCCAGACGTAGAAGTTTCTAGCATTCAGAGAGTGGTGATAACACGCGTATGTCAGGACCAACAGTTCAGACCGTGCTGGCCTGAAACCGGCGTTCTGAGGAGCATCATCGAAACACCTGCATCTAACATAAACACGGTTAAGGCAAGAAACCAAGTAGAAGTCATAATTCTCAAACAATCCTTAAACACGCTTCAACTACCGGAACACCAGCTTATGACTCCCAACACTGACCATTAACTTGGCTTCTTGAAGTTACTTATGAACCTTCAATCCATCACTGCAGCAACACAAATTTGGGTCAGCAAGGCACCTAGTTTCTTTTTTTGCAAATGCCAATAAGAGCAATGGCTATACATCTTAAGCACTAGATTAACGGAATTGATTTCTTTGAACTCACCCATTTGAAGAAGCCTGACGATGGCGACTACGTACAACTTCCAAGCTGCTTCCGAAAATAACCGTTGACCCAAAGTCTTGATTTGCAACATCTCTTTTCCCACACAAATCAAAATGTATGAAGCCCAGGATGGCGTCTTCGACACTCTGATGATTGCTGGAATTAGGGGACATTGAAACCATTAGCAGAGCAAGTGGTTACATATTGAATTAAGCATGAAATTGTTAATGTTATTGGTTACCGTAACATGAAGAACTTCGTAGGCATCGCTGCTGAGAACCCACTCGGTCACGACGGTCTACCAAATCTGTAAGAGAAAGCAGAGAATCAATCTGTTAAATTGCTACGCAAGAGCTAAAATGGAGTTAAAATTAATTATCCACGTGCTTCCCATCCAGAGCCAGCGCAGAAGGGCAGATCCAAACCGAAATCTTGTCATCAAGTATGCAAATCAAACAATAATCACAACCTTCCCAAAATAGACCCAGACTTGCTCAAAATAAGAAGAGAAATACCATTAACTCCTCAATTCAAAGCATGCTCAAATTGGAAAGAAAGTATCCTCACCAACCGTATTCAAATAAAGTTGTGACCTGCTAAGATATAAAAGAGAAAAATTAGGAGCAACTCAATAACATGTTTTGACCAAAACGAGAAAGTTTTATTGCCATGAAGAGATATTCAACTCCCTTCCAAAACAGGTTTTCGACATGTTTGGACAGACATGGAAAGTATTCATCACAGCACTCAATTCGAAATCAAGACAGCCTATAAAGAAGGTTTTGAGAATCAGAAGAGGGGGATACACAGTACATACGCGCAGAAATCGCAATCCCCACTCACAAACATTCAACCCACAAACAGTAAATCAAAATCCTCAAATCGAACCCTAACATTCAAACCACGATTTTCACAAATCACAATAATCCTTCCTCAGAATCCACACTTCACAAATATCCCAATTCAAAACCCTAACACACAGAAAAAACCAAAGAAAGGAGAGAACTTATCTTGCGTGCTTTGCCGTCCGCGAACCGCGACCCAATCGCGATCGAGACCCTTGCCACCGCAACACCACAGTCTGAACCTTCGCACACTCCGCCACCGGAAAACTGCCGATGCCGCTTTGACTTCCACCTTCTTCATCTGTCATCGCTCGAATGCCACAGCGAAAACTTTATGAGAAATCTTGTTATGGTGAGTATGATTTTCGTTTTGTTCACTTGGAATTTGATATTCTGTTGTTTTCTTTAAGGAAAAACGAAGAAGATAGAAAGAATGGAGATGAAAGATAGACGAGGAAGCAAAATGAAGGGAGAAGAACGAAGAGAGAGAGAGAGAGAGTGGCGGAAGAGGAAGATTGACGGAAAGGGGGAGGGGATCGAATGGGGATTAGGGTTTTTGCTTGTAATTTTGTTTATCTTGTAATCCAGTACACTTGCACACACTGTAGCTACACTGCACCCTCGCTCAACACCACACACCTCACCTACCACGTAATCAAACGATCCACATACCACTCGCTTACCATACACCTTCGCAGATCACCCACACACAAACCCATCCGTTTCCCTAATCCTAAACCCCTCGTTAACTCACTAATCTCTTAAACAGGCCACTTAATCTTCCATTTTAATTAATTAATGACACACCTAATAATTAATTTAATTAGTTGTCACCTTTAAAAACAAACCAATTTTCTAATTAACTAATAACTCTTTTGACTAATCAGTTTTAATTAATCGTTAAACTTAATCATCCTTTTAAAATTTTTTTTACTAATAACCTTTATTATTTAATTTAATTAGCTAAAAAAAATAAATCAACCCTTTTATTAAAAATTAACTTTTTATTTTATTTGTTAATTATTATTTTAATTAGATCTTTTCTCTAATCTTTTTTTTTTATTTAAAATAAACTAACGAATCTTTTTCTAAATAACCAATATGTTTTTTAAAATTAACCTTTCAATAATAATAATAACTTTTTTTTAATCTAGAAATTAACTTCTAGCTTTTTATGATAATCAAGAGTTTTTTAACCTAAAAAAAACATTTCATAATTAATAAATAACAAAATATTCTATGACAATCTATTTAATTTATTTATCAATAAGAATAACCTTTTATAAATAAATAAAACTTATTTAACTAAATCTATTTTATAACTTAAGAAAAATCACTTTTTGTTTAAGAATCTTTTCCTTAAAATTAGGAACTTAATTGATTCACATCTAAAAAAAAAACCCTTTTATTAATAAAGCAAATTCAACTTTTCTCTTAAAGTCAATTCACCCTCTAAGTTGAACATTCGACTAAAAATCAAATAAATTAATCAATCTCTTAAAATCAACTTCTCGCCTACAAATTAATCACACCCTTAATCAATTAACATCGCATCCAACGCAGTCGTGCACACTCACATTCACGACACATACACTCTCACACACTTCAGCGCTTTCATGCGTATGTGTATGCTTTATATTACCCGCAATTTACATTATCGTTATTCATCAACACTTGTGTGTAGTGCACCTCATTTGCATCATTCTCCCCACACGATCCTTGATCCCATTCAAGTTGATCGCTTAAGATAGATCTTACCCCGTAGGAAGGACCTTGTCTTTTATCTTACAACATAGAAACAAAACAATCAACACAATACAATATTCAAACATTCAAACACGAAAGAGAAATAGATGTTAATCATCTTAAGCGATATAGAATCTCCACCCACAGCAATACAATCAACATGTAGGGACTTTGCCTTAAGAGAGATAAAGGCGTACTCGTCAAACAATCCGAGTACTTGAGCCCTTTTCTTAAGACGATGCAAAGACCATTTTCCTACAACCTGTGGCGGTTATATCTCCCCTAAAATGATAAAGCATCTCTTCTCCTAAACCTAATCAATCAACTACCCTAAACCCGTAGGAACTTTGACCATAGTCAAAGAACTCCTCAAACCCTTTAAGGGAACTACAAATACTCTGATTCCACTCCCGTAAGGATATGTAGGCATAAGATGCGATATCTTATCGAGTATACTTAGAAAATAAACCACTAGGTCTTTTACCTTAAGCAGATAAACACTTAGCAATAAACAAACACAAAACAAGAGATTCCTGTAGAGTACTACAGAAACTTAGGATGCTAGTACCTTCCCTAAGTTTAACCGACCCCCGAACCTATAACTCTCTAAACCTTGCATTTGCATTGCATTGTGGGAATTTCGATCTTTATCCCTTCCTTTGGAAAAATCAAAGTTCGGTTGCAAAATGAATTAAAGATTCAAACTAATCAATAGTTTGGTATCCGATTTTCACCGCGACACATCCGAACTCAATTGCCTTCTTCTTCACTGTCTTCCATCTTCAACAACAAGTTTCGGGGAGGAAGTTTGGTTGGGTCTCCTAGAAACCCTTTTCTGAGTCTATTAGGGCTTTCAAGGAAAGGTTTTATATCATTGAGCCCGTGTCGGAGAAGGCCACTGACTCCACGTTTGTCTGGGAGGTGTCGACGGAAGAGGGCGGGGAAGCCTTAGTCAACGAGCATAACAAAATACTTTCGTGGAGGTTGTTTGAGTTCCCGTTCTTCTGGAGTAGGGCTCATTTTATTTGGCCAAATGTCGATTATATCGCCACACTTCACATGCTAGGGGACGATGACCGAGCCAGCTACGCCAAGCTGGTGGCTTTCATGGACGACTTTCTACCTGCCTAGTACGTGACCCGTGTTGGGAAGATTATTTATGAAGAAGATGGGGGGCCCAAGATGGAGGCCCGATATATCAATACGAAGGAGCTGCTCGAGTGTAGCACTCTTGCGGGGGCTTTAGGACTTCTGGGTAGCCTTTTATTTCCTCTTAGTTTATCTGAGTTGTTGCTTTCTTCATGTATTAATGTGTTCATTATTTTGTAGGTAAAATGTCTTCTGCCCAAGAACGAATGGTAAAGAATGCCCAGGGGAAGCTAAAGGGGGACGTAACGATCGGGAAGAGCCGCCTCTGCCAGCGAGTGCCTCCTCCTCAAACTGGGCTGAGGATCTCCTCATCCACCCTACCGATCATCCAGACATCAATCGTGCCTGTGAGTTCAAGGCTCAAGCATCAATGGACGGGCGAGATTGTGGACCTCAGCAAGGAAGGGGAGAAAAGCATATTTGAGCTGCCCCCGTGCCTGCACAATAAGAGATTCTTCGAGGGATCTTCTTTGGCAATTCCTCGGGCGGAGTCTCTGAAGCTCGAGGAGATAGACCGCCCGAGCAAAAAGACAATGCTTGCTCAAGATGCTTCTGCCCTGATAAGGGTTATGGAGATGACGGTGGTTTACACCAAGGAGGGTTTCCACCATGAATCTGAGTTGAAGAAGGCCTAGGCACCGGTTGCGGACCTGGAAGAGAAGTTGAAGAAGTCCCAGGAGGAACGGACTAGGTCCGTCGAGGAGTCGGTGAAAAAGTGCCAGGATGAGCTGGCCAAGGTCAACGAGGAGAAAGATACTTTTGCTGCAGAAAAGAAAGCCGCTAAGGACCTGGTCGAACATCTAAAGGTCGTTGCTGCTCCTGGTGAGGGTGAGAGCGAGGAAGTGAAGAAATTGAAGACTCGGGCCGAGCTGGTTGCTCGCATCAC